CACACACACACACACACACACACATTAGTTTTGCTACGTTCAGTTTTTAGACAGTCATTTACTACCTTTTTCTTCTAGCTAGCCTTTTAGGACTTTTGGCTTCTAGTTAGTCATCTGCACTCTTTCAGGGGAAGCTCAGTTTTTAAATTTGTACTTTTTAATAAATAGTTGGTATTTCTGCGTTCATGCACGTATGCTGCATGTTTCTCCGCTCACAGGGACCATCTCTGCCTTGACTTCAGGTCAGCACCTTGCTGTGCAGCAGTGATGGAGGAGAACGACGTGGAGGAGCAGCGTGAAGCCTTAAAGGAGGACGGAGAACAGGAGGGAAGCAGAGGGTGCTGCGAGAGGTTTCACCTGTCCGTCTCCAAGTGGATGCTACCAGAAGACCACCGGGAAAAGTACCTGGAACGAGCCAATTGCTGCCCGCCCCCCATCTTCATCATCCTCATCAGTCTGGTAGAGGTAAGGAGCTCTGAACTGGTCAGGAGGATTTATTTGAAACATTTTGTTTGTGCTTCCTGATTTAGTTTAGATGTTACAGGCGGGATGTGACATAGTTTTCGTCACTTCCTGGTTTCCAGTCAGTTTTCTGTGAACCTCCTGACTCGGCAACCCTGCCCTCCTCCCACAGAAACTAAAAACGAGTTTTCTCTGAGAATATTTTAGTTGATTTTCCTCACTGGTGGGAAATGTTTTGACTTAAATTTGTTTTTTTTTTTAGAAAAAAAAACGGATGTAGATAAAGCAGTTTTCTTAAATAAACACCACAGAACAAATGAATAAACTCCCTGCATTATTACTATCTAATACCAGTCGTCATAATACAAAATGTGTGTGCAGAAGTCTAATTTTCCCTCTATGAATGGATGCAAACATTCCTGTACTCAATCACTTCCACTTGAAGAGATCTGCACCACATGATGACAACACTTTATTTATTATGATTAGCTGAAAAGGAACTGTTTTAACATTTACAGAAAGAGCTAAAAGGAATTTTGTTACATGTGTTGCTGTAGAGAAGTATGTCAGACTGGTACAGGACGTGCATGAGGATGGCAGGACAGTGCTGAGATGTGCTGTAGGAGTGACGGATAGCTTCAAGGTGGAGGTGGGATTCATCAAGGATCAGATCTGAACCCCTTCTTGTTTGCTGTGGTGATGGACCGACTAACAGATGAGGTCAGGCAAGAATCCCCGTGGACTGTGATGTTTGCAGATGACATTGTGATCTGTGGCGAGAACAGGGAACAGGTGGAAGAGAACTTGGAGAGGTGGAGGTATGCAGTTGAAAGAAGAGGAATGAAAGTAAGCCATAGTAAGACAGAGTACATGTGTGTGAATGAGAGGGAGGCCGGTGGAACAGTGAGGCTACAAAAAGCAGAGGTCACAAAGGTGCAGGACTTCAAGTACTTGAGGTCAACCAGGAAAATGGAGAGTGTGGTAAAGAAGTGAAGAAGAGAGTCCAGGCAGGATGGAGAAAAATGTCAGGAGTGATTTGCGATAAAAGGGTGTCGGCAAAGGAAAATTTTCCATGAAAGTAGTGAGTGTTGTATGGTCTGGAGACGGAGACATTGACAAAGAGACGGGAGAAAGAACGGGAAGTGGCAGAAATGAAGATGTTGAGGTTCTCCTAAGGATTCACAAAAACCCTATTCGCACGGGATTAGTTTTACCTAAGGACCACGTGTAACCAATTGCTCCCCAACGTCTGCTTTTTATGTGGCGCATTCGCACGGGATAACCAAAGCCTGAGATTTAGCTGAAATTTACGGACATCTTCTGATTATGATGTTAACGCACTGCGTTGTCACGACCGGGCCGGTCCATATAATGCGGTCCCGGACAGTCTCAGGCTTTGTGGTTTTACGAATCAGCACTAAAGAATGCACAATATAAAATTGTGTTAATCTACTTGTTGAGGAGGAGGCAAGTTTAAGAAGTAAAAGAAAAGCCACGTTAAGCTCAGATGGACAGCTGTCACCGGTTGTGCATGTGAGCGTCTGCGTGTCCGCTGACCCCCGGGTTGAAATGGACTTGCGACCTGTCCAGGGTGTCCCTCGCCTCTCACACAGTGATTGCTGGACATGGGCACCGGCGACCCCTGTGACCCAAAATGGAATAAGCGGGTAAAGATAATGGATGGATGGAAGTAGAAGCATAAAAGCCGTCCCCTACATGGGGACCATATACTAAATTGATTTTTGGAACAGGCAGATGGAATAGGGACTTGCACTGTCCACTCCACGCATCGACCTGGTATTGCAGTATCTCCAGGATTGGTGCACGAGAAGAAAAAAAAAAGTCGAAGCGAGCAGTGCGTTCATTTAAAATAGCCTTGTTCTATATTTTTCCAAATGATTTTGCTTAAACAAAAACAAAAAAACACCTCATTACATATTGGATCCTGCGCATTTCTGTCCAAATCACAGAGATGCCTATTGGCATTGGATTAGTATTATCACAGGACCTCGGAGTTCAGCAAAATATAGTAGGTAATGTGCAGGGGAATTTTCACTTTACAAATTACTGACATGGCCGATACGCACAGGATTAACAACACAGACAATCTCTGTAATTATTACAAATACCATGTGATCCCTTGGTAAAACTAATCCCGTGCGAATGGGGCTAAAGATGGATAAGATTAGGAATGAGATCATCAGAAGTACAGCACAGGTTGAACAACTGGGAGATAAAGTTAGAGAGGACAGACTGAGATGGTTTGGACATGTCCAAAGGAGAGACGGTGAGTATATTGGTAGAAGGACGTTAGAAATGCAGCTGCCAGGAAAAAGACAAAGAGGAGATATATGGACGCAGTTAGAGAGGACATGGAGGTAGTTGGAGTGAGGACAGAGTGAGATGGAGGAGGATGACTCACTGTGGTGACCCCTGAAGAGGGAACAGCTGAAAGAAGAACCTACGTTGTTCAGATTGACTTGATTTATTTTAAATATTACCACTATTTGAAAACTACATGTCTCAGCCTTTTTTTGTCTTAGTAAAACTACTTTCAGCTTCAGTTTTCCACTCTGTCCACATTGTCATGAGGTTTCCGTGCACTCAGTCTTACCTCCAGGTGTTCGCCTTTTGGGAATGAACACGACTCTTCAGTGAATACTTTGAAATTTGTTAAAAAAGCGTTCAATACAAGAGCAACTGGAGTTTATTTGTAACAGAAGACGTTTCGTTCCTCATCCGAGGAGCTTTCTCAATTCAAAGAGCAGAGAGTGAGGGGTTCAGGTTGTAAGGCTGAGTGAGATAAGACATACACGTAGATTTGACAATTCACACCAACACCTTAACAGTAGGAGTTTCTTAAGGTCTTTGTTCCTCTAATTCACAGATGAGGCCCCTCTGTTCCCATCAGGTGGGAAAACTGACTGGGAATCTGTCTTAAAGTTGCATTTTAGGTCTTTGAAAGTGAAAATCTGAGGCCTCCTCCACTGTTAAGAGACGGTTATTCTCTTTTAACATAAATTGCTTCCTTCACTCCCCCCCCCCCCCCCCCCCACACACACACACACACACTCTCAAACCATCTGTGTTCTCGGTCCAAAATGTGCACATTTTGATCCTCGGAAGAGTGTCCCTTCTCTGTGAGGTGAACAGCTTTGAAATTTAACAAAGTCCATGCTCAGCTTTGACATTTTGTTGTTTACGAGGAATTAAAAGATTCTTTGCAACTTGAGTGCGTCTAATCTCCAAGCTGCTTTAGTTTCATTCCCGTTGCCGTCTCTTTGCTTTGTGTCCACACCTCGCTCTTCTCCAGCTGGGGATGTTTATCTACTACGCCGTGTGGAAGCCTCAGAAGCAGTGGATCACTCTGGACCAAAGTATTTGGGACTGCCGCTTCACCTACAAGCCCGACAAGAGGGAGGAGGCCTGGCGCTTTCTTTCCTATATGTTTGTCCACGCCGGGTAAGTCAGAGGGGGGTGATTAAAAACTTTACTGACCGCTTCAGTCAGCAGAAAATCACCCACAGATGCTTTAAAGAACGACTCGTGGCCCTGCTGAGTTAACTCTTTGGTTTTTCCAGATCTCAAGTTGTATCCATCTCCTGCGACTGCAGCTATATATTTATATTACTAAATATGGAGTATAATGGGGAGTGGTGGCGCAGAGGTTAGAGAGGTGGGCCTGTGATCCGAAGATCGCCGGTTCACGCCCCGGCCCCGACAACATCAAAATTGTGGGTGGGGTAGGTGAAACACTCACACTTGCCCCCACCCTCATTCACCCCACTCTGGGCCCATGAGCAAGGCCCTTAACCCCCACCATGTGCTCCCTAAACAGGTCTCTCTTGAAAATGAGTTCTCGTGGCTCAATGAGACTAACCTGGATAAATAAAGGGTAAATGAAAAAATATATATATATATTACTAAATAGTAGGTTTGAATTACAGAATGCAGAACATATATTTATAGTATTGTGCAAAACTTTTAAATGGTCCTCTAACTTCTGTAAATTTTTGCTTTGAAGCAGCCTTTATTCTGTGACCAGTAATTCTTCAGGCTTTCTGAAACTTTCACACATTTCTTTGCATTTTCTGTCCAGTTCTTGTGTCTGACAATGAGTCCACTCTACAGAATCTGCTTCAGTATTGGAAGAAAAACAGTCAAAGTAAAATAAATGCACAAATAATCCTAAAAAGTCTGTAAATATGGGAATAATAACAAGTCTAACGGCTAAACTCAAACTTTATTCATGTTTTTTTTTCAATATTTCTAATATTTTTAGTGGAAATATGTTGGTAGGTGTTATTTTTTAGTTCTGTTTGCTTCTTGGGGATCATCTCAGAACACCAGCCTAGTGTTTTCTGACCCACAGTGGGATTATGACCCCAACTTTGAGAACCTCTGGTTTAGATGAAGCATGTAGAAGACACGAGAAGGCAGTAAAACAGAAAAAGCAAACTTCATGAGCAAACGGATCAAGTGCATCAATGAAGAGGAAGAGTGGCAGAAAAACGAGCAAACCCAAGAAGTTTAATGTCCTATTTGGACAAACTGCTCATGGATCTGAGCTGTGGACACTTGTGTCCAACACTGATGGTGGACATAAAGAGTTCAACTAGACTGTTTTTAATCTCCTTCTTCTTGTTCTTGGTTGTCGTCATTCTTGTTCTTCGTCTTCTTCTTGGTCATCGTCGTTCTTGTTCGTTCTTGTTCTTCTTCTTGTTCTTGGTTGTCGTCGTTCTTGTTCTTCTCCTTGTTCTTATTGTGTAAATAAAGTTTTGTTAAAAATCAATCAGTCTCCTTGTTCTTCTTGTCCTTCTTCTCTTCCTCCTCCTCTGGTTTTGTAGTGTGGAGCACATTGTGGGCAACCTGCTGCTGCAGCTCCTGCTGGGCATCCCACTGGAGCTGGTCCACAAGGGTTTTGAGGTGGGGATGGTCTACATGGCTGGGGTCCTCGCAGGTAATCGTCAGCATTTTAAAATCAAGCTTTATTAACCAACAGCCTGTGTTTTGTATCTTTGTGAAACGTTTGACATGAACTCGTCTTGGAAGTTAATTTTCTCTGCTTGTGTCGGAGTTAAACTTCCTGCAGATATTTTCTCAGGCTGTTTTTTATTATGTTTATGTTTTTACCATCAGGCTCTTTGGCCAGCTCCATCTTTGATCCTCTCAGTGCTTTGGTCGGGGCCTCCGGGGGCGTTTATGCCCTGCTCGGAGGTTATTTCATGAACGCAGTGGTGGTGAGTTTACACACAGCTTAACTGGAGGTTTTGTACGCACAGTAAAGGTTTATTTGAATTATTAGAGCTCACCGTTTGAGAAATTGCCAACAAAAGACCCAAAAGTTTGATGCTCTTTGAAAAGTAAACTATTTTCATATCATTTTTTATTGCTAAAGACAATATATCAGATCTTGACAAAAGGGAATTTTAGAGAAAAATATGTTTTCACAATAAAAATTTACTACCTTTTCATAAAAAAAGAAATCCCAGAACAGATTTTTGTTCTTCTTCTTTTCAGTTTTCCACTCTGAAAACTGCTTTGGAAAACAAATTCACCCCCCCCCCCCCCCCCACCACCAACTGTAAATATACTGATGGGTCAGTTCATTACTGCACACTGCCATTAAAAGTAGCTGATCATGGCATGGTAGTGGTAGAGAGTCATCCCCGACCCATATTCCGAGAGCTAAGATGAATGTTTGTCGTCTTTGTTGAGAACGTAAGCGTGCAATGTGAGCAATATGCATTCCATCCAGGAATGCTACTTTTTAATTTAAATCAAAGCATTATTGATGATTTGAAATGTTAATTTTCAACAAACTTCTTTAAAGTCGCTAAAACAAATTCTTCATTATGTTAAACTATACTGTACAATCTCCTGATGCATGCATAGAAAAATCTAAAAAAGTTAAATCGGGTCTTCTGGACGGATTCAAACAAATAAAAAAACTTGTTGAAACGTTTCGTCTTTTATCCAAAAGACTTTGTCAGTCTGTGGAGCTGCTCGTCATGAACGGATTGTGCCCATGTAAACGATACATTTTAATTATTTAATCTAAAAACATTTCCATCCGGACAAAGAATATTGCACATGTAAACATAGCTATAGTGGATCAACCAGTTTGTTGTTGAGATTCAAAACTAGATGCTCACATGATCAAGGAGGACCATCAGCCTAATGACCGATCATTAGCTCCCTGATGGCTTCTTGTTATTCACAGGAGGCTGAGTGATACTAACAATAACAGCATTGTAAGAAGGGGACAGTGGAATATGGGGGGCGTCTCCCCCTGTTTAATGATGGACTGTTTCTTTTTACAAACATGGCCTCCTTCACTCGTCTCAAACCATTGTTCCTCTCAATCAAGGATGTCAAGTCAGATTTATATATATAGCACATTTAAAACGGAAACTGTTACCAAAGTGCTTAACAAAAGATCACAGCATCAAATACAAAGTAACAAGATATAATTACAGCACATGGAATAAAAATATAAAAACAGAAAACATAATTAGAAACAATGAAATACTAAAAAGAGATTGTTGATAATGGGATGCCGTCTGACAGCAGTGTGGCCAGTCTGCACGAGGAGGAGGTACCAGGCTGTTGTGGCTGTGTATGGTTCTTCCACATGCTACTGAGGCCCCTGTATGTTAAATTAATGAATTGGTAAATCCAGGATGTGAACATCTTCATCCCTGAAAGAGTGACCGCTGGCCTGGAGATGAGTGTAGACCGCAGAGTCCTGGCCTGATGATGTTGATCTTCTGTGCTGGTCCATCCTTTTGGCCAGTGGCTGTTTAGTTTCCCCGATGTAAGACTGATCACCCTCCTGACACTGAACAGCATACACAACATTACTCTGTTTGTGCCGAGGGACTGGATCTTTGGGATGAACCAGTCTTTGCCGTAATGTATTTTGGGGTTTAAAAGCCACTGGGACGTTATGTTTAGAAAATAAACGTCTCAGTTTCTCTGAAACTCCCTCAACATATGGAATGACCACTGGTCTGGGTTCCTCCTTTTCACCTGTTGGCTGACTGGAGTCCTGTTTGGGTTTCTTCTCTGCTTTCAGGAAGGCCCAGTTAGGATATCCACATTGCTCTAGAGCCTGTCTTGTGTGGGATTTCTCCTTCTGCCTGGCTCCTGATTTAGTGGGGACTCTGTCTGCTCTGTGGTACAGAGTCCTGATGACTCCTAACTTGTGCTCCAAAGGGTGATGGGAGTCTTAACTGCTAATACTGGTCTGTGTGGGTGGGTTTGCGGTACACCTCAGTTTGTAAATGTTCTCCATCGGAAGGCCCTGAGCCCTCCTTAGACTGGCAAAGTCTTGGATTAAAAACGGAATGTTTCAACAAGTTTTTTATTTTATTTATCTGTCCAGAGGACCTGACTTAACTTTGTTAGATATACTGTACGATGTTTGTTAACCTTAAAATCCTAATCTCTATGTGGCAGAATTTCCGAGAGATGATACCTCTCCTTGGAGTGTTTCGAATCCTCATCATAGTACTTATCGGTGGGTTGTGTTCCATCTTTTCAGATCATGTCTTTTGCTTTTTGACACATTTTGGAATGATTTTATCCGCTGCTTTCTGCTTTCAGTCGGTGCAGATTTTGGGTTTGCCTTTTACAGAAGATTTATCCAACATGCGGCGGGTTTGCAGGTAAGATGTCGCTTCAACAGCAAAGAGTTGGCTTCTCAGTTTGGCGTCTCTGCTCTGACACTAGTCGTCCTTTCTGCACCTTCAGGTGTCGTTTGTGGCTCATTTCGGAGGAATTATTGCCGGCATGACCGTCGGCTACGTCTTCTTCAGCGCTTACAACAGCAAGCTGTTAAAAGACCCACGGTTCTGGATTTGTATTGTAGGCTACATAATTTTCTTTATCTTTGCTGTGTTGTTCAACATCTTCATCTCTCCAGCACCGTAAAACCACAAGATGGTCTCAAAGATCCATTGTGTCTCAGCATGCTGGATTTTTACGTTTAAGAGCAAAGTTGTTGTTCAAGGACTTTGTGAATTTCTGAAATGTAGTTGTTGTTTTAACAAATTTTAAAGCTCAGGTTAACAACCCTTCTTGGCAATGAATCTTTTGTTGTTGGAAAGCCTGCTTATTTCTCCTAAATGCTGCCAAATTATAAGAAAAATGCATTTGTAGTTTGAGTTGAGTAAATGAGCTGCACCTGTCTTTGTCAGCTCCTAACAACTTATTCTACTATTCACTCTTATTTAGTGTCTTATTGGATTGGATGATTACAAAAGACATTGGCAATGTACTAATTCATTAAGTTAACATGCAGGGGCCTCAGTAGCATGTGGAAGAGCCATACACAGCCACAACAACCTGGTACCACCTCATGCTGCTTGGCCATACTGCTGTGGGGTGGCATCCCATTGTCAACAAGCAGCCAGTGAGCTGGTGCACCCACAAGCTGACCTCACAGGTGTGTAATGGGGCTCAGGTCAGGACTGCAGGCAGACCAGTCCATCCTCTCCACTGGAGCCCCACTCTGTGGGGGGGACGAGCACTGCCCTCTTGGAGGATAGTTTGGCCCCAGCCTGAGAAGATGAGGGGTTGTCAATGATTGTAGAATATTTTATATGAAACTGGGCCTTCAGTTTGAAGATGGTACCAGGATTCAGTCCAACAAAGCTGCAGCTTGGTTTTTGTGGAACACCAGCCTGAAGTTGCTTTAAGACACTGGTCTGCTGTCGCAGGGTCCAGCACCTGGGGAGTGAGAAGGTCAAAACAATGGTCTGTAGTAGAATAAACTGTGGGACAGGAATTGGGCAAGTTTGTTTTCCATGGGCGCAATCCACAAATGTATTTTCTTAACAAATGTAGCTCTAGTTACAAATTTAATTGCCAAGAAACATCGTTACAAGTAAACTCAAAAGTTCAATTTTTATAATCAAGATAGCATTTGTGCTTTGTTGAACATTTAATTTTTTTTAATTAGTTTGACATAATTTCAACTACTAGCACATAATAGATGTTTGATGATCCTGGGTACTTCCTGTGAGGACTTATGGCAAATAAAACTTTATTTTGAAATAACGCAGGCCTGACTGGTGACCTTTTGACCTTTGGAGTGCCTTTTGACTAACTTAGGAACCAACTATGAAACTCAGGCTCACAGTACGATCAGCAGGGTGCCAGCTACAACATATTAAAGTTTTGTGTTCCTGGGTGCTTCCTGTCCAGAGTCATGTCTGTTAAAAGCACTTGTTTTTGTAAAAAATACAGGCTTGACTGGCAACCTTTTGGCTTTTGGAGTGACCTTTGACCCCCATTAGGAACAACTTAGAAGGCCAAAGCTCACAGGGTACAATCATCAGGACCCCGGCAATAACATATTAAAGTTTAATATTCCTGGACACTTTCTGTGAGGAATTGTGTGTATATATACATGTGTACTGTAATTCCTTCTACTGGCTTTTCTTTATATATAAAATATGTAGTTTACAAGAGTTACTTCCTGTTCTGTTTTCACGTTTTTAATTTTCATAAATGATGCTCATACACAGTATTGATGAAATGCCTCAAACATAAGCTTTTGTTGGGCCCACCAGCTGTTCTATTAGGTCAAAATGTGTAACAGATGTTCTTGTACATTTTAATCTATGCTTTTTTCTGTAAATGTTCAGATTTATTGTGAAATGGGTTATTAGATATAGATTTTAAAATGTTTTAGATGTTCTTTAGAAGTTCTAGAAAATCTGGCAGCCATAAACCGATAGAAGTTTCATACGGTTTTAAAGATTTTAATAAAGTTTGCAGTTTTTTTTTCCCCAGTGTGTTTGGTCAAGTTTATTTTGACATTATTGAAACAAAACTGTCAGTTTTGTCAAATATATTCAGAATAATTAGTTTCCTGTAGTTTTAAGTTTGCAGATTTGACACATTTAAGAGTTCAACTCTTAGTCTGAAAGGGAAAAAAAGATTCACGATTTTGAATAAAATATTCATAATTGATTTTTAGAGCTCAATTTTATTTTTACCTACCAGTTTTGTTGTCAGCTGTTTTTAAACTTTCAAAACTTAGTGTTGCTCTACGGCTGATTTTACAACTTACAGATGATACAAGCGTCATGGTGAAGGCTGAGGTGCATTAATCCATTCTGGATTTTCTTTTTAATGGGAAAAGTTTCAGGTACGTTAAATGAAAATGAATGAGCATCAGACTTATTAGTCTACAGTTGAAATCCATTGAATTATGTGGAATTACACACTTAATGTGAAATTTCAAAACTTTTTTGGATTTATGGTTTGGCTTTTTGCACCTAAACCACAGTCGTCCTCACACCCATGCTGATCATACAAAATATGTTGGAAGTCAAAAACAACCAGATTTTATCAAGCGCAAAAGTATCGGTGCACTTTTAAGCTTATTGCAATAACTAAATCTGTTTATTTACATTTTATGTAAAGAGTAAAATTGGTTCCGATTCTAATTCTGTTAAGTTCTGCTGTGCCTAACCTTTGAGAGAAATGTAATAAAATACAGTTTCCAATAGAGATTTATAAAACAAATTAAAGGTCCTTATTGCAAATTATGCATCTGAACATAAAAAAATGGTGTTTGGCCAAACTAATGCTGAACATAAATTTTTTTGTAAAAAGTACAAGCTTCTTTATTCAAGTGAGAACTCCTGTCTGGATTTATTACAGTAGTCACAGCAAATACTTAACATTTAAACATGTTTTTGTGCACCAGCTACTCTGTTCATAATTTACACATTAAAGCTGAAGTTTACCAGAGAAGTTAGTTGAATATAATGAATCTGTCCTCACTGACAGTAACGTGCACAACTTTTCTATTTAGATTGATTTGACTTAATTTCATATCTTGATGCTTAAAAAGAATCAGTCCTTATGCTTCTGTCTTAAAAAGTAAATACTGGAGGTACTGATGTGAGAAACTGACCCAAAGAACCACAAAAATCATCTGCAACGTTTCAATAAAAAAAAAAAAATCAAACTATTAGTGACAGAACGATAAAATAAATCTGTTTATTTGAGCAGCATGTGTTCACTGCCCAAAAATAAAATGTGCTTCAGTTGTAAATAAAAACTGTCCAGTCTGTGAGGACTTGCTTTACTAAAGTTTAAACGAACAAGGAAAATATGTACACAACACATAAGTTATACGAAACAAAGAATAAACTTAAGGTTCTCAAAAACAGCAGCCAAGTAAAAAGTTTGAGGCTTTAACGTCGCAGTTTTGCCCCATTTTTAAATTCAAGCTAACAGTTGTAACAAATCCACAGCGCTGCTGCGGTCTAGATCGCTGTGCCTCCATCTTTAGAAGCAGGTTCATGCTGCTGCAGCTGTGGAGAGAAAACATCTGTTTTAGTCTCAGAAATAAAAGGTTCGGAAGGAGCGGTCACGTTAAAAGAAGTCAAATAATGAAAGCCAAAGAAACAGTACTGTGAAGTTTAGAGCAGGGGTCTGCAACCTTATTTTAGAAAGAGCCATTTCTGTCACTTCGCTCACTAAATAAAACATCTGGAGCCGCAAAACCTGCTTATCAACTGGTGACCCATGGGCGACTGGAGGAAGGCTTTTCTCACTAGTTGGGGTGACAAAACTAAAATTATACAATTAATTTTTATATTTATTGATATGTTCACGTTTTAGGGTAAAAGGAAAGACCAAAAATAGGGAAACATCGTTCATACCGAGTCTCTGCAGGCCTGAGTCTTTTTTCCTGACTCAAATTAAGTATACCACTTTGAAGCAATAAAACAAATTTAAAGTATGCAGAAAAAAATTGGCTTTTTGCTGGACAAGTAATTGATTTTTATTTTATTTTATTCGTTTGATAGATCCCACTGTAAATCTGGAGGTTGGATAACTGGAAGTAGCTAAATGTAATCAACATGTTTTGCTCCTTCTACTAGTAGTATTTTTCAAACAATTTACAGAAAATTGACCAAAAAAATAAAACTGCCAACTCACATTTTCTGTTGTGGGTATAAAGAAAACAAAATTAAATACAGTATCATGTTAGTATTGGTCAAAGCTTCTAAGGGCCACAGACTGAAGAGCCCCATATGGCCCCAGAGCCGCAGGTTGCAGACCTCGGTTTTAGACTCTTCACAAAAACAACACAGATGACTCGGTTCTGGACCCAAAAAGATTTCCACACAGCTAAACAAGATACAAAACAGTTTATAAGTTACAATGGGCATCATTTTCATTTACTGAATACTGGTTTTGATTTGCTAAATAAATTGTAAACCTAGTGCAAAAAGCAAAAAAAATATAAATATAAATATATATATACACATTTGCTTCATTTGTGTAAAGAAAAAAAAAACATTTAAAAATGAAGTATCTTCTGTATCAAACAAAATATATGAGCAGATAAAACATTAAACTCATGGATTAGTAAAAATAAATCACTGTTCGGCTCCAACACCATCATGGTGCTGAACCCAACATCTCTAATGGCTACAACGGCATCAGTTTTACCAACACAGAGTTAAGATTTGATGTGGTGGTATAGCTTCACCTCCAACTTTGTTAGCAAAATATCCCATGAATAACATAATGGATTTTAATGAAACTTGCGACTAATAACTGGGTTGACATCTACAAATGATTCATTTGTGGCGTCGATTCAAATCAAGCTGGTCACCACAGCTAACTGACGTTAACCAACACAAAATGGCCACAGATTTACAAATGTTGAGCTAAAGTTTGGTGTGGTAGTAGCTGAGAGTCATGCTCAACACGAGCACCGACGTCTCATGTGGTCCTGCATGAAGAGCAAAGCTTTGACCAAAATGGCTACAACTCGATCTCATGTCCTCTTCAGGTGGACTTTATTTTATATTTTGTCCTAAAAGCAGCAGCTTTAAATTCAAAATGTAATTAAGAAAAATAAAAACCCACTTTTGCTTTGAGGTCTTGGTTTTCCTCTATCAGACGTGCACACTTCTGCCTCAGATCTATCACCTCCTGCTGCAGGGCCTCGGTGTCGGAAACCTGCCCCATGGGACCAAGGTGCTCCTTCACATATCTGAAGAAATGGTTTAAAAAAAATCAAAAAAAAAATCTAATTCTGATGAAAACCCAAACAGAATGAAACCGTCTCAAATGAACGGTTGAAGTCGGGATGTGCGTTTCTGAAGGATACTCCAACGCATCGGTGGGCTTCTCTTGTTGTTCATACAGGGACACAAAAACTGAAAACAGAAAAAAATTGTTAGGCGAGTTTCAAACAGAACCGATCGCTTACCAGTTGATTATAAATACATTTACTGGGTTAATAGTGCTTATTAGACAAATAAAAATAAAAAAGTTAAATTCTGGTTCAGTGTCAGGAGGGCTGGTCTGCACTCCTCTGCAGGCCAGCGGTCACTCCTTCAGGGATGAAGATGTTCCCTCTTACAATGCTGTTATTGTTAGTATCACTCCCTGTGAATAGCAAGCAGCTATCAGGGTGCTAACAATCCATTAGGCTGATGGCCCTCCTTTATTAAGTGACCAGCTAGTTCTGGATGTCAACAACAAACTGGTTGATCCACCATGAGAAGGTGTCGTTTATAAAAGACTGAGTTGAATACAGCTCCTCGGACTGAAGTCTTAAATGAAACGTTTCTACAACTTTTTTTTTTTTAACCTGTCCAGAGGACATGACTTACCCATCCATCCATCCATCCATCCATCCATCCATCCATCCATCCATTATCTTTACCCGTTTATTCCAGTTTGGGTCACGGGGGTCGCTGGTGCCCATGTCCAGCAATCACCGTGCGAGGGGCGGGGTACACCCTGGACGGGTCTCAAGTCCATCACAGGGACACATAGAGACACACGAGACAAACAACCATTCACTCTCTCACTCACACCTAGGGACAATTTTAGAGTTACCAATCAGCCTAACATGCATGTTTTTGGTCTGTGGGAGGAAACCGGAGCACCTGGAGAAAACCCACGCATGCACGGAGAGAACATGCAAACTCCACACAGAAAGGCCCCTGGACTGGGGTTTGAACCAACAACCTGCTCGCTGAGAGGCAGCAGCTCTACCAGTTGCGCCACCGTGCTGCCCGACATGACTTACCTTTTTTTAGATATTTCTACCTGGATTACTGAGCATGCATCACAATGTTTATGCATGGTGCTTTTAATTAATAGTTGATAAAAAAATAAAAATAAAAAAAAGCATGCTTAATAATCAAGGTAGAAAAATCTAAATATAGTTAAATCAGGTCCTCTGGACAGCTTCAAAAAATTAAAGAAAAACTTTAAACTTCAGTATTAGTTAAGATTTTTCCCAGAACTTCCTGCTTTGGGTATTTTATGGTTTAACACACCTGATTTAAATTATTAAAGCAGCTCATTAGCAAATCCTACAGAGGCCTAATAAAAGGTCATTTAAATCAGCTGTGCTGGAGCAAGGATACTAAAACCACGTGAATATTAGTCCCTAATCATAGAAATAATATTTCAAAAGTATCATACCACTGGTGAGACTGTCAACAACACCAGTTTTCTCTAAATATCTTCGAAACTGCTCTCTCTTGGAGTCTGAGGCCTGTAGGAATAAAAACAGGCATTTAATGTACAAATAATTACACTTTCAAGTCAAATTAACCACATTCTTTAAAAAAACATGCTTCTAACAATTTGGTTAACGTTCACTAAAAAAAACAATATTATGCAAACAATAGCTATACTTTATATATGCGGTTTAGTTTGACTCGTTTAAATGAAATTAAGTTTGTTAATGCAAACCTAAACTTTCGCAGCTGCTGCAATTAACAGGCCAACATTGACAACAAATACTTACTCTATAATGCGCCATATAGATGCGTTTCCAGGTCTAAGCTGATGGTGTAAGTAATATTTATATATTGAGAGATATAAATTAGAAATGGCTGACTACAGACCAGCACTGCTTCAGAAAGAGAAGTAAAACTGCCGGGTCGAAGAAGTTAACTTTCGTTCTTCAAGCTACATATGTGCATGACGCTATGCCACCTTCAGGTACTTCACGTAATATTAAAAACTGTGTCAATTTCTATGAAAAGCTTTCGGCTCTGTAGTTCATGACTTGAATATTATTTCACTTAAATATATATAATACTTAATAGTTTTTTATTTAAATTCTAGCTAAATTTACATAACAATAATATAATAATAATAATAAATATATTTTAAGTGCCTTGAATTATTTCCTACATTTTTGAGTAGCTGTGAACGTTTCAAGTTTGCCATGATGCGTCTATCGCCATCTGACGGTAATATTGTATAACAACAACTACCGTGTTAAAAAAAAACAAAAAACCTTGCATTTAATTTTCACTTTTGGTAAACAAATAATAAACAATAACAAGACTTAAAAATATGTAACAAACACAATGCAGCTTCAAACGTTTACTGTTGCGAAACGACATCTTTTTTTCTTCTTTTGGATCTGTTCACAAAACAAGTCCGAGTACTTGTCATGTGACAGAATGAAGCCTCAGTTGATTGACAGGGCAATCGGCCAATCACCTTTCGCGATGTAATCCGGCACAACGAATCGGGGTAAGGGGCGGGCAAAGAGTGAGAGGAAATCCTAGAGAAATGTGTGGGACAACGCTGTGTGTTTCTACGAAGCTTGGGCGATTTTGACAAGCTATTTTCTTTGTGAGACGTTATTAGTCGTCGGTGTACCGACCCGTTTGGCACAAACACAGGCGTGGTGAGTAATAGCTAAGGGGGTAGGGGAGGGGGGCGGGAAACTGGGGGGGAAGCGGCCAACGTTTAGGTCAAAATGTCGATTCAGTACGAGGAACAGCTGCCCGACGGCTACGGGGTTACGGACTCCTTCCCCAAAGATTTCGGTTACGGGGAGGATGAGGAGGCCGACATCGAGGAAAGCCCGACAGCGTCCGACAGCAAACCGAGAATCCTGCTCATGGGTCTGAGGCGAAGCGGCAAGTCATCCATACAGAAGGTAGGCAGAGCCGTTTAAACTAAGTGTTAGCTTTTAGGAGGCCTTCTTCTTCTTCTGCCCAAAATGTCGCTGATCAATTCACCAATCAATCAGCAACAAGGGACAGAGAGAGCTGTTGTCTGATAATCTGCTGCTGTTAATTATTAATCAGGTGGACAGAGGCTCGACGTGACCCAACATGTGACTGTTTCAACATGCCAAACACATGATTAGTCTCACACAAGCTGGTGACCACACCTTTTAACCTGGGCTTTAACCACTGCGACACCTTCAGTTTCTTCCAACATCCTCGTTATTATTATTATTTTTGTTTTTAACCCCTTAGCTGAATTTACTGTTTGGACAAAAGGGGCATTTGTTGATAAATTAGCTGGATCTTTCCTTTTTTTTGTTGTGCCATACACATAAACTCTGTTGCCTCCAAGTTGCTTATAAAGTTGTAAATCTGCCCGTTTATACCTGATCCATCCTCATTCAATGGATGTGGTACACTCGGAACAAATAGTTTTAATGTTCATTCAGTAAATTACAAATATCAAAGTTCATGATCAATAATCTAGGTAATAAATCCCAACAAAGTTAAGTCAGGTCCTCTGCCATTCATCCAAAAGACTTCTTCGGTCTGAGGAGCCACAACAAACTCGGCCTTTTGTCGCTGGTTCGTATCCGGCTCGAAGGACCAAAAATGTTGGATTATTTAATTATCTTATCATCAACTCATTAATCAAATAAGCCACATGAGGAAGCGGAAAGATGTTTTCAACCCAAGTTTAATCCTTACAAGGGGGTGCAACAATTGAAAACAGGCATACAAGATGTTATACGAAGCCCTGATCACAAGGTAAGTGGCACACTCGCATAGTGGGCCAACCAGTTTGATGGTGATAAAGCACCATCTTTCTGGAGTCCACCCTCTCCTTCATTGACTCGTCTGAGGCAGTCGAGTGGTTCAAAACGTTTCAACGCAAAGAAACAGTCCAGAGTACTTGACTTAACTTTGTTGGATTTATTACCAGCTTATCACCATCAAACTAGTTGGCTCACTATGCGAGTGCTGTAAGACTTGAGTTTGTTGTGGCTCCTCAGACTGAAGAAGTCATTTGGATGAAAGATGAAACGTTTCAACACAATGAAACTATCCAGATGACCTGATTTTAAGATTGTTGAATAATAAAAACAGTTTGTAGTTCTTTCATTACCCATAATCCACTCTGCATGTACCATCTTTAATTCCTGAAGTTTTCAGGCTGACACAATTGTTGAATAATAAAGATGCTGCTGTTCCCTTTTGTCATATTTTATTATTCATGTTCAGCCTGTACACAATTTCAAGGCCCAGCATTCCTCGAAGAAATGCACATCACCCGCCACCTTTCACGTCAAGAGTTTTAAACTGCAGTCATTTTATGAGGAGGGATGGAGTAGTGAGATCTTGCGTGATCTTCTAGGGCTTGAAGTATGCGTTGAGGATGAAGCTCCGCTACTACACCAAAGTAGAGTTACTGTAAATTAAAATGATCCAATGGTTCATGAGATATTGTGCTAACGCTGCAGACGCAGGTTAAAACATCTTCACTTTTGGGAGCGGGAGATGATTAAAAAGTACTTTACTCAGCTGAAGTATTCAGACACGTTTCGGCTCTTTGCTGTAATCCACAAGCCCTAAAATCTCGTGAAATTTCCTCTGTTAGTTTTCAGTTTAGGCTGAGGAACATGTGATTCGGCTTTTTGCTGCCTGTGGTCTTTGAGGCCCACTTCTGTTGACTGCGAAAGGAGCTAAATCTACTTCAGCCTTCCCCCAATGCTTCCTATTTTCTATGAATCCGTCCAAACGTCTGATTCGTCCCTAAACCGGAGCTCTGGAGCTGCTGTCAAGCTTTGAATCACGAAGCAGAAAAAAGGCTGAGCTCAGTGGCGTCTTGCATCAGATGAGTGAGTCTGCAGTGTTTTTGCCCTTTTCCCTTTTTGTTTGGCACGTGACATTTAAATGATTCCGGTGCGCTGCAGACAAGTCGAACACGGCAGTGTTTGTCACGTTCTTTATCACCTCCTGTAAGATTTATTGATTCAAACTGGGCAACTTCCAGCACTATCTGTGCAACAAGTGTTGAAAAGTTTGAAAACAGTTGTTTCATAGTTCTGCTTAACTTAAGGGCTTAACCTAATGCATCAGATTAACTAATTAAAACTAAAATCTCCATGATTATAGGGCGGGTTTATTAATCTGAAAATGACTTTCTGAAAGACCAGTGACATTAAATAAAACGCATTACAGTGTTTCCCCTAGTTAACTTGCCATGTTGGGGTGCCCATCTCATCCATGATTTTGGTTGGGGGGGGGGGGGGGGGGGGTATTTGTCTGAGCGCAGCTTGTTCTAACAGTTTTTGGGTGGGGGCAGGGGGCGTTTAGCATCAGGAAAGAGGCAACATGAGTGCTTCCTTTAGCTTTTTAGCTAGAGAACCTGTATTTCTCGCTGCTAGCTTAGTGCTATGTCAGTGCCGGTGGGTGGGTCGGGGGCAAGTTTGGTTTGGTAGGTGGGGTGCTCAATTAGGTTGATGGGGTGGGGCACCCCGCTTGTATAATGGTAGGAGAAACATTGCATTATATTAAAATACTCAATTGAATCTAGCATTGTTGTTGTTGTTGACGCTCTTTTAAAAATAAGAATAATTACAAAACCTTTTTTATTGGTACATATAACTCTTTAAAATAAAATAAAAAACACTTAAAACACTAATTATATAAAATCACATCTAATTGGGCTTGAAAAGGAGGAAAAATACAACATTTCTGCTTTTAATGAGGATACATGATGAGCCTGTTGTAAATGCATCTTGTTTGAAATAAATGTTTTTTAGTAGTTTTCATGATGATGCAAGAGACATTTTAACCTATATTAATTTAAATTTATAAAATATAAACACAGAAAAAATATAAAGAATAGAAAATTATGAAAGCCATAAATTCAAGTGGTGCAACATAATCACATTTTAGTCGCACAACTTTTCCTTCCTTTAAAAAATAAAAATGAATAGGATTTCTTAACTGTTGTCTGATTCTTAAATAATGTTACATGAAAGGCAAATTTTGAAAAACTAAACCAGAAGATAGATAAAAAAAATAACCACACTTTTTTTTTTTTCATTTACCCTTTTATTTATACAGGTAGTCTCATTGAGCCACAATAACTCATTTTCAAGAGAGACCTGTTTAGGGAGCAGATGGTGGGGGTTAAGGGCCTTGCTCAGGGGCCCAGAGTGGGGTGAATGAGGGTGGAGGGAGGTGTGGGTGTTTCACCTTTTCCACCCACATTTTTTTAATGTTGACGGTACCGGGAGGTGAACCTACGACTTTCTGATCGCAAGCACATCTTCTAACTTCTGCGCCACCACTCCCCCAAACAAACACCACTCCCCACAATTGATGCGTAATGAAGTGTTGGAACTCTTGGTTGCCTAATAATTAATCAGTATTGTGTAAACGTCAACTTTAGTGGGGAAAATAGTTTAAAATTTCAACTAATCTCAGCCAAAATCCAATTATTTCTGTAAAGTTACTTAAAGTGTCTTAGGTTAATTTAACTTCAGCTGTCTGTGTTGTTAGTCGCCTGCTGAGTCATGAAACTGTCACCGTCCCCCACATGTAACACAAACTAACTGTTCTGCTAAACCTCTGTTCTTTCAGGTCGTTTTCCACAAAATGTCTCCCAACGAGACCTTGTTTCTGGAGAGCACCAACAAGATCTACAAGGACGACATCTCCAGCAGCTCCTTTGTCAACTTCCAGATCTGGGACTTCCCAGGTCAGGTGGACTTCTTCGACCCCACCTTCGACTACGCGATGATCTTCAGAGGAACCGGGGCTCTGATATTTGTCATTGATGCTCAGGTGAAGAAAACAGATGACTGAACCATTTGACACGGTCGGCTGAAGAATCCTGTTGAGTTGTCCTCGTCAAACATGTTGAAGTTAACGATCAATGAGCAGATATTTATTCAACAAGCTCATATTCTAAATTAAAGCTTTAACATTCCTTCAAGGGATGCACATTTCCTGTTTGGGCTGCACAGTATATCGCACGTTAAACTAGTGACATGGCAAGTTTTCTTGTATTTTGAAGCCCCATCTCTTATGCCACTGGTTTATGCTATGTAATATTATGAGTTGTACTCATTGTATGAGTTGTGAATAACTCAAATTTTAGGTCAACGTTTGTAAATTTGGTGGCGTTCTTGCCCTTTGTCTTGGCTAATGCGTTGTGTAGTGGCCATCTTGGATGGATTCCAAAAGTTGATTGTTTCCTGAAAGTTTCATGACGATCCAAACCGCCCTATTGTTTTACTCGTCGTTAATCTGAGCCAGGAGATCATTTAGATCCTCTGCGTGGTAAACAGCCGACGTGGTTATCGGCGTGCGCTGCACACCACCCTAAAAGCTCTCAAGAACTAATTTCTGGTTCAATAGGAGCCACAGCAGATCAGATCACAGGGTTCGTTTGTAGGCGAGGTGTAGCAGGAGGAATGTTTCTTGGATTGGTCACACTGCAGCTTGTTTTACAGCATAAGTGAACGCAGACCTAAATTTGTCCTCGAGCTGCAGCTAAAACAACCTGAAGAGGAGAGGCCGTGCTGTCGGTGGAAGCACGTCTCGATTGTGTTTGGCCTTTTCTCATCTCGCGTGCCCTTTTTTTTATTCGTTCCCTCCCTCCTCCGCTGTGCTGCAGGACGATTACGTGGAGGCTCTGGATCGGCTGCACCACACCGTGTCCCAGGCGTACAGGGTCAACCCAGAGATCAACTTTGAGGTGTTCATCCACAAAGTGGACGGCTTGTCAGACGATCACAAGATCGAGACGCAGAGAGACATCCATCAGAGAGCCAACGACCACCTGGCAGACGCAAGTTTAGAGAAGCTGCACCTCAGGTACGTTTTGTACATTTTACAAGGAGAATTTATGTTTAGCTCTAAATCTCAAGTCTTGAAAGTGTTTTTTTTGCCCATTTTCTTCCCCAGACAGAACAGTAATGATGTTAGCGGTCCAATCATTTCACAAGTCTCGAGGTGTTTCAGCTAATCCATTCGTTTTTATAGAATTAACTATGTTCAAACCTAAATTTACCTTCTAAAGAGCTGTTCTAGTCCTACCTGCTTTAATGATTAGCTTCCTGGAGTAAAACCTGTTGTCTGCATGAGGAAGTGGATAAAGTATCTGTAACCCAAGCACAGAGATTTATTATTGTACTCGACTCAAGCAGTGCTGTCATACCACAGGTTCTGTCACAGTTTGATTTAGATTGTGGGGAGTTTATTATTGCAGTTCTTTAATATATGTATGTATACCTGTGTGTGTGTCACATGGAGTGAAATATTTAAAGTCTTTAATTTCTTCTAATTGTGATGACTATGGCTTACAGATGATGAAAACCAAAAGTCAGTGTCTCAGATAATTATAATATTCCACATGCAGCTTTTGGTATGTTTGTCGGTGTGGGCAGGAGCCGAGTCCTGCGGGAAAATGAAACCAGTATCTCCATAAAGCTCGTGAGCAGAAGGAAGCATGAAGAGCTCTAAAATGTCCTGGTAGACTGTGGACTTCAGAAAACACAGTGGACCAACACCAGCAGAGAACATGGATCCAAACCATCACTGACTGGAAACTTCACTCTGGACTTCAAGTAACATGGACTCTGGACCTCTCCACTCTTCCTCCAGACTCCGGGACCTTGATTTACAAATGACATAAAAATTCACTTTCATCTGAAAAGAGGACATTGGACCTCTGAGCAACAGTCCAGTTCTTCGTCTCCTCGGCAGATAAGACACTTCTGATGTCGTCTCTGGTTCAGGAGTGGCTTGACTTGAGGAATGAGACATTTGTAGCTCATGTCCAGGAGTTAGTCAGCTGATCAGGATGAGACACCAGGAGTTTCGAATACTGAACCTCTTCACAGTATTCTTTTTATAAGACACTGCATTTTGTTTTTCATTATTTGTAAACCATAATCATCAAAATTACAAGAACTAAATAATTTAAATATTTAGTTCAATGTGTAATTAATCTATATAATGAGTTTCACTTTCTGAAATGATTGTTTAAAAAGATAATGAACCTTTTCAGCATATTTAAAATTTTTGAGCTGCACCTGTAACTGACAGAAAGTTTCTGTTCAAAGTGGAAATTTGTGAGTATTCAAGCTCACCTGATCTTAAACTTGATCAAGTTTGCCTAATGTGTCTTCTTTTTTTTTGCCTTTAGCAAATGTGGCAAATTGAACAAATCTTAAATAAGACACTTGAAGTAAAAGCTTGGAAACGTTTGGTCTGTAGTCTTTGACACAGGCTTTATGTTTCCTGGTGTTCTTGTGAGATTCCTCTCAGCTCTCCTAATGAGGACGCAAATACCAGAGGTGTCATAAATTAAACCGTAAGAGAAAAAGACAACTATGTAAAGTAAATTTAGGTATACATCCAGTCTTTGGTTTGTCTTTTATTTTTTTTTCTTAATGTACTGGAAGTCTCCAAAATGTAACATATTTATTTAAAAATGACACACACTATCAGTCGTGTGTGTTTAACTCGGGGAACATGGTTGTTTTCCTCTTGACAAACATTTAAACTCACCATCAATAGGTAAACGTTTTTTACGTTTTTAATTTCTCTATTTCAGTAAATAAAGTCCATAAGTCATGTGTTCTCAGTTTGCATCACACCGTTGAAGACAGCTTTGTAGCATCCAACATTTTTCAGTCAGGTCATCTGGACAGTTTATTTTTTTTTGTTTGTTTGTGCTGAAATGTTTCACCTTCCATCCAGAAGGCTTCATCAGTCAAGGAAACACACAACAAACTGATTCTTCCCCCCAACAGCTTACTCCAAAGTGGAACAAACCAGTTCTGTTGGTGATAAGTTGGTCTCTTTGTCACGCCCCCTCCTCCATTGCCAGCCCTCTTCCTTGTTGCGCATGGACTTTGTAGTTTTGCAACAGTTTTACTCCAGGTTTTCCTGAGATCTTTTCATTGTGGCACCTGTTTGTCTCATGATCTTATGATGGATTTAAAAAAAAAAAATTGCGTTGTTTCAGATGCATTTTAAAGGAAGTGTCTCCGAGTATTTCCTTATTTACTTCCTGTTTTTGTGTGTGTCATCTAGCTTCTACTTGACGAGTATATATGACCACTCTATATTTGAGGCCTTCAGCAAAGTGGTGCAGAAACTCATCCCACAACTCCCCACATTGGAAAACCTCTTAAATATCTTCATTTCTGTAAGTAAACAACAACAAGAAGCTTTTAGTTTGTTTCAGAACCGTACTTGCCGCCGTAAACATCACACCGTCATATAAGTCGCATCAGTCCAAATATGTCTAATAAAGTGGGGGGAAAAAACATAAATGCGCCGCTTCGCTGCACAAGTGGCATGTATTATGTGTCACCGCTGACAACCCAGAAACGTGGGCCGGTGTTGTGCCAAAAATCGATTGGCTGCCAAATGGCGGCTGCGGGAGAGTGCACGGGAGGACTTTAACAAGAATTTAACAAGATTAACACTTAAAAACAATTATTTGTTTGCTCGTAATTATGGCAAAGGTGTGTCTCAGTTAAACTTTTCCTTAATAAATGCACTTTAATGGTCAAATCAGCTGCATTTCACTTGGGCGTTGCGGCGAAATGCAGCTGATTTTTGACGTTTGCTCCAGGAGTTCCGGAGCGAGACGAAAGTGGCTTGGTATGGCAAGCAAAGTGTCTCATTAATAGCCACTTTTACCTATTAATGAGACACTGTTAATTATGCACTGCACATTCAGAAATGATCTTTACTGTCCAAATATGTGCAGTATGGTAAGCATTCAGCTTTTTTTTTTTTTTTTTTTTTTTTTTTTTTAATATATATATAGTAAATTGTCAGATCACCTCTTGGTTTTTCTATTAGTTAAAATTTCCACTCATGACTGACAGCTAAAATAACAAATCACACAAAAAAAAGCAATGTATTAAAGGAAAACTTGTCGAATGAAGAATCGACGGGGATTTAGTTTGACATCAAACCACTGGGGGCGCTGTTTCCCCAGTCTGATGTGTTTTTGTCCATATTTCTAAAAGTTTATTTTTAGAAAACACCAGTGAACAATACATGATTCATTATGTGATAGACTATAATACTGGGGCATTAAAGGAAAAAAGGAGTTTTTCTGAGAATTTCAAGAGGCGGGAAGATTCAAAGAGGTGCTGTGCCTCTGTGTTGGGAACCACTGTGCTAGAAGAATTCACTTTCATCCGATGCCTTTTGATATAAATAATTATCCTTCACTCTCAGACTTGTGACACAACCACTGTAATATCAAATGTTTGTTTTAACTGATTGTAACATTTATTGATATTCGTTTTGTTTATTGCTGCCGACAGAATTCAGGGATCGAGAAGGCCTTCCTGTTTGACGTCGTCAGTAAGATCTACATCGCCACAGACAGCTCACCTGTCGACATGCAGTCCTACGAGCTCTGCTGCGATATGATCGATGTGGTTATCGATGTCTCCTGCATCTATGGGTGCGTATGTTGGTTTTATTGAAGAGCTGTCTTTGCTTGGAGATGGAAAACTCCGTTAAATGGATGGGAGGAGGAGGTTTGTGCTTTTGATGGCTCCTAAATTGTGGACCAAGCTGCCCCCCCATCTCAGATAGGTCTCTGTTTTTGAAACTCTTCTTAAAACATACCTCGCTTCCTTGGCTTTTAAAAGAGCTGATTTTAATTTTCATCTGATTTCCAACTTTATAGATTTTATAGTTTGATCAGATTGTATGTACCTTTATTGATATTGTTACTTTATTTTAATTTACTCGTGTTCTAATTGTACTTCATATTGTGTGAGCTGTTTTATTGTCTAGCACTTAAGTCCGCTGCAGTGATTTAAACCTTTACAGTTAATGTTGGATTGGACGATTTATCAGTGATTTCCTCCGGCTTTAGTTCATCCACGTCTCGTCTGAGTTTGCTTTAACTGAAGCAAGACTTGTGGAATGAGTATTCATGACCTCACAGAAGAGCTGCAGATGGTTCCTCCTCTTAAGCTGACCTTGCGGTCGGTGTTTTGTTTCCCCAGTCTGAGGGAGGATGGTAGCGGCAGCGCCTACGACAAAGAGTCCATGGCCATCATCAAGCTCAACAACACCACTGTGCTGTACCTCAAAGAGGTCACAAAGTTCCTCGCCCTCGTCTGCATCCTGAGAGAGGAGAGCTTCGAGCGTAAAGGTAAGCGTGCACCGACACGCCTGCAGAGCGCACGTAGCTTCAAAATAGGAGCCCTTTTAGGCTGTAACAAAGGATACAAAATGATTTCAGTACGAGCCGATGAAGGATTTAAAGTGAAATTATTATTAAATTGAAATGAAGAGGCAGATAATGGTTAACTGTGAACATAACGTGCCTTAAATATAATCTATCCAGTTGTGTGGTGTTACTGTACAATCCTAGTAAAGAGTAAGAGTTGCTTATTTGGGCTCGACTTTCTTTCCGAGTGAAACTAGTTGATAATCTCTCGGCTCCACACAATAAAACAAAGGACAAGTGGTAGTAGGTAGTTTGTCCCTTCCATGCCCCCGTTTCCTGTTTATCGCTCCTGCCCAAGTTGAACTACACCCAAACAAACTCATATTGTGACCGACCACTAGGGGGCTCCACTCACATTGCAGATGTCAGGATGTTTTGTTTTTAAAAATATGTAGAATAAATTACATATGCTAAGTGTTTTTTTTTTTTTATTATTTTTTTATCAGAGCTTAAAAGTATGTTATTCAAAGTGTTTATGTGTAATGCCATAATAAATGTATTTTATACTGTTTTTAAAAACGGCCTCTGTTTTACACAATGTGGTGTGTTGCCAGTTGGGCTTGTTTTCATAGAGCTGGTTGCATGTTTCTATTGCAAGATCTGGCAACACCGTTTGACTCTTGTATTTTAAGGTTTTTAAAAAGTTATTGTTTAAAATTAAAGACATTTAGTAGTTTACTGATCCTGAGTGTTCACATGGCAACAAGAGGAAAATCATCAAACGTTGCCGTTTGTTCATCTGGTTAAAGGAAAACATTCAAAACCGTTACCGAATATGCTCAGGGTTGGATGTTTGAGTATATTCATGCCAATTTTAACATTTAGTGCTCATTAAGTTGTAACACACAAGCCAACGCTACATCTCAGAGTTTGCAGATTTAGTATTTTACTGTTTTTGATTGCAGGGAAAAACATTCAAGTTGGTTTGTTTGATACTTTGCTGTCGTCAGCTGGACATTCAGTGTCAAATGTTAGGACATCTGGCTGACAGCTGACGATTACTTAAAATTAGGCAACAGGATAACGGTCTTTAGCACAGCAGCGTATCTGCAACAGTTTAACAGAAACTTTAAAAAAGGTGTAATCCAGTGGAAGAACAAAACAGTCAAGAGGATGAACTTCAACAGCAGAACAACAAAAACTATGATTCTGTCTTTCAGGTCGTCTCTTTGTGTCTTTGTCTCGCCACACTTGCACAAATTTGTTCTTATTCATAATACTTTTTAAAATGTGTGTTAAACTTTATTAATATTTTCAAAGTTTTTGTTAATCGATGAAAAAAGATAATTTAACTTTCTAAACTGAAAGACAAAGTTGTTTTACAATAAGTAAAAGTAAAATTTCTCTAAAGTTAGAAATATTCTTTTTTTTTTTTTTTATCCATATCTGGATTTTTGCAGAAAATAGTTTTGTGTATTTTGTTTTTTGTGTGTTTTATACTTTGCTGCTGCATATCTCATAACTTGAGTTGTTTCTAAAATCTACCAAGTCTTGTAACTAAAAGCAGCAGTTTCAAGATGTTTCAGCTTCCAACTCAGAAAATGACCGTCTCTGGTTAAAATGAGCAAATATTGATGTTAGGCCAAATAAACAAAGACCTAATGTAAAAAAAATAAACCAAAAAACATTAGTATATATTTTTTAAATTTACTTTTATTTCTCATTACAAATATCACAATAAAAGTAATAAACAATTGTTCAGGGGAGGGGAATTGTATGTTGATGATGATGATGATGATGATGATGATGATGATGATGATGATTAACTAATGAGCTTCAAACTCAAGGATGAACCCATTTTCACTACAGCTGATGAAGTGGTTGATTACTGGTTCATTGCTTCAGTTGCACATCACTACCCAGTTTTGTAAACCAATGTTGTTTTTTTAGAACTTATTTTTTATTTAAATTTTCCTAAAACAGTTGCAGTGTAAAAGTACCATACACATACATTCTTAAGCAATGGTTAATTTTCCAAAGTTCTCATTGTCCAGTTGCGAAGGTGGTGTATTATTTCTATAACAAGATAATTTTTCCCGTTTTACATTAAACTGCACCTCTTGCAGTCTTACTTTATGAGTAAGTTTTTTTTTTCCGTTGCAAACAAATCTTCCACAATGCACAGCCAACGCTCCATGGTCGGTGAATCCACTTTATGCCATAAACCAATGTTTAAAGTATATATTTGCTCTGAAGTTCGTTTTAGTCAGTTCATAAAGCTCCTATTTGAAGATTTGTATTGAGATTTACATGTTTTTTTTCTCTACACTTTGAAGAACTGAACTAAACTGAAGCAATGATGCAGAGTAGGATAAAGTTTCTTGACACTATAGGAAGCTAAGGTTTATATAGACTATAATAAAGTTATTGGTGTTAAAGGTGGTTCTACAAGTTTCAGTCATGTGATATACATACTTCTGCTGGATCTTAGCTTTGTTGCATAACTAATGACACTGTGTCATGTGCACATGTTCATCTTAATTTGCCTCATTTGTCTCCTGTCACGGAGCGAAGAGGGGGATTGGAAATACCTGCCGTCCATCCATTTGTCCGTGCATGTTGTGAGCATGACGAGTTGAAAAATAAATGAAGTACCGACTTCCAGTTTGGTGTGTGGCTACATCTAGGCCTAAGAGGGGTTCATTTTCAAAACTGGGTTGTCATGTCAAAATCCAAGATGGCTGCCACCATATAGGCAAACATGTTAACAGTTTGAGTTGGATAGTTTGAAAAGTAAACTACATGCCAACCTCCATTTTGTTGTGTGGCCACATCTATGCTTAAAGTTCACTATCAAAAATAGGGTTGCCATGTCAAAATCCATGATGGCCACCTCCATTTATATGTAAACTGACCCCAATCAGTTGAGAAAACCATGCTTTTTAATTTTTATATTGCTTTAAAGTATAGTTTCCTCAAATAATTGGGATGGCCCTTTGGGAGTGATCTATGGGGCCAAGACCACCGTTGGCCACCCCCTGGCTCCACCATTGCACCTGGTGGTTGATAAAATTGCTCCCTTTGCTTGCCAGGATCTCTCTGCACTGCCTGGAACCACAAAAATACCCCAAACCTCGTGCCTCTGTTCTTCTACTGCATAACTCTGTCCCACTTAATTATCTTTCAGCAAAAAACTAAGGTTTTCCTGCATTCCCTGTTCAATTCTAGACCAGAAAAACATTCATCTCGAAAACTACAAACATTCACTACAAATCCTTCAGTGACAGGAGACATTTGGGAACCGCTTTAGACCCAGAGGGGACTTTTTTAAATTTTTTTAATTTGATCATCTTTTAGATTTTAGAAACCTCCTTCTTCTTAAGGACCTGTTCATATGTTGAATACTTAATGTATACATATCTGTTTTTTTTGTTTGTTTTTTTTTCCTCCCCAGGATTAATAGATTACAACTTCCACTGTTTCCGGAAGGCTATCCATGAAGTATTTGAGGTGGGTGTTTCTGCCCAGCGACCGCTGGGCCCGCAGGCCGTGGGCTCGCCCTGCAACAAGGCCGTGGCTTTGAACGGCACGCCGCGCAACACCGTCTAACCACCAACACAAGATAAGTACAAATAATAATAAAAAGATGCAACATGAGGGTGGAGTAAAGAAATCATCAGGGAGTCTGCAGAGGAGAGACTACAACACCGGGGCTCACCAGTACACCAGTCACAATCCCCTCGCTCCCACCGACTAAAGCTTTGAAAGATGCCTCGAGCAAAGAGGAGGAGGAGGAGGAGGAGGAGGAAGAATCTGGGCATCTGTTTCAGGTGAATGGACAGCACCGTGTTGACTGTGTGGAAGTTGAGAAACTGCTCCCGAACAGGAAAAAGTTCAGCTTCTTTCTTTTCTACAGCAGCCGGAGGCTGTGATAATTAGCTGCTGGTTCTTTTTTTTATTTTATTTGAACAACACGAGGAGGAATAAAAACCTTAAAAACACGCTCACATTCTGACCTCTGCTGGACAAACTGATTATGTCTAGTGGCAAACCGGACCACTTCTGTGCTGACAAAAAGACGGAGCGCTCGTCCTCACCCACCCGCGTTCAGAGATGGCCTTACGCAGAAAAAGCTCGATGGCAGCCGAGGCTTTTTTCTCACCGCCGCTCATCTCACTGTAACCCAATGCTGCGCACGGCTCACTTTTTGGTTTCACTCGGGAAGGAAGGGTTTGTGAGCAAACTGAGCAGGGACTGTGCTGTCCGTCTAACTGTGGTGTGTGTGTGTCTGTGGGTATAAGTGTGTGTGTATGTGTGAGTTTCAATAAAAGGTTCTGATGGTGTCCCAGCCCGGGCTTCTTGTCTGCAGAGACGGACCGTTCACTCAAATGTTTCGTCTCTGTAACAGCAGCTCGACGTAAATTAACCTTTTCAATCAGTGAAAGTAAGTTCAAGTTAAAAATTTACCTTTGTGGCTTCGTGAAGATTAAAGAGACATTCAGTTGGTCGTTTGAAGTAAGTCTTTGTTCAAGCACTGCCAAATGATAAAAAAATCAAGTATGCCAACATTCAGCTAGAGAAAACTGGAGATGCAGGACTGATGAAGAGGTGCGGTTAGCTTTTAAACAGATGGCGCCTTGCATGTGTTTCACCCTACACTTTCAGTCCAGCTCCAAATTATCATTTAGTTTTTTTTAGTTCTGACCACAAAGGTTGACAAGAACATGAAGTTCTCATTCCAAGCATGTTTACATCCGTGTGTTAACTTGTGTTGATCTCAGCTGTAACACTGCTCATTGTAATCAAAGGTGAAAATAAAGAGATGCATTTAAAGGAAAAAAGGTAAAATTTCATTTGTCATAAAAAAAAAAATCATGTTCAGCTCTGTCTCGTTTTAGATTAATAATATAAATATTTTAATAGACAGACACCTGAACACATCACGAGCAAAATCAATGAGATAATGTGCAAAAGTATAAATGTAAACGCATATTTTAGTTTCTGCTTTTCTGCTCATTTTATTTTCTCCCAGAAGGAAAATACAATTGAACACAAGATGGCGCTGCAGGGCTACAAATATTCTCAAATTATTCATATTCCTCTTCACGTGAGGAACCTAATTGTTTTTTTTGCAGGAAACCAGTTGTTGGCTCTGTATGTTGAATTCATTTAACAAGACCAGAAACATGAGAAGCATCTAGAATAGAGAGGCTGTTTTTTTTTTTTTGTGTCCAAAGAACAACAAAATAAACCAATGGTGTGAATTCTGTTAATATTCACCTTTTTTTCTAATTTATTGTACATTTTATTTATGTTGGGATTTATTTACCTCTGTATAGTTTGTGCTATCAAAACAACGAGCTCATTCACGAGAAGAGTGCCATGACTTAATTTTTATCTTTTCAAAACCATTTTTCTTTTTTTTCCCAAATGTTTCCCCCTAGAAAACATTGAGATCTTAAATGTTCTTTTTGAAATCTGCTTCAGCAAACTTTGTCTTAAACTAGTTTTAGCTGCCATTCAACTTATTTTAGCATTTGCTTTAGCTACTTTTAGATTTTAGCTTCCCTCTTGTTACTTTTTGCTACGTTTTTCATATTTTTTGTCTTTAGTCTTTTGATGCCTTTTGCTTTTACCTACTGATTTTGTGTTTTTTCTTCAAACTAGCTGCTACTTTTAGCTAGCCGTTTGCGATCTTAACTTTTAGCAAACCTTATGCTTTTAATACTTTATAATTAGTCTTGATACTTTTAATAATAATAATTACAATAATGTGTATGTCGTTATTGTATGTTCCCATACAATGGCGAAATTGGCTCTGCATTTAACCCATCCACCACCAGGTGGAGCAGTGGGCAGCTATTGAAAGCACCGGGGAGCAACTGGGGATGAGGTGTCCTGCTCAGGGACGCCATGAGATTTGCAATGACCGGGAATCGAACCGGGACCTTCGGGTCCCGAGTCGGCTGCCCTGCCCCTTCACCTTCTCTTTTAAATAGTCTTATTAAAATGAGTCTCTCTCTTTTAATCATACTCTTTTTCTACTTTAGCTTTTAGCTAATCTTTTAGTTAATAACTTAAACCTAGCCATTAGTTGTTTTGTGCTCCCGTTTTGCTATGTTTTTTAGTTAACTTTATATTTTGTTTTTGCCTCCAACTTGTCTTTTGCTACATTTAGCAAAGCTTTTATTCTATAGTTAGCCATTTGGATACGTTCAGCTAGCCTTTGGATAATTAGATTTTTCATTTTTAGTTACCCTTTTTTCTACTTTAGCCTTTATCTAGCCTTTTGTTAACGTAAGGCTAGCCATAACTTACCTTTAGCTAGTATTTTACTACATTTACCAATTCGTTGACATTTGCCAACTTAGCTCACATTTCACTTTTTTTTTTTTTTTTTTTTTCAGCTAGTGTTTTTTTCTTTGGTTTTTAATCAAGTGTTCTGCTTCTTTTATCTTTACCAGCTCAGTTTTATCTTTATCAATGTTCGTTCAGCGCTGAGCATTGGATTGTATACCTGGATTATTGAGCATGGACTTTATGTTTTGTTTATAGCCATGAAAATTAACTTTTATAACAATTAAAATTTCCAAATACGATTTTCAGAAGTGCTCATGTGTATATATATTTTTAACATGGCTGTTTTTTTTCAGTTGTATTGACTATAAAAAGTGGTGGGGTGCACCTTCCTGCAGGTTTCGTGCACACAAAGAACAAGAGTGTGAACAGCTTCACCATGCACGTTATTCACCAGTTAAGTTAAATAAGCCTCACAGCTACTGTCACGAGCCATTATGTGGGACGTAGGCGAGACAGCTAAACACCACTTCCACACAATTTAGATGCAATAAAACACTGACAGCTTTTTTACTCACTTCATTAAGCCAGTAATTTCTTATAAAAATCTCCCACATTAATCCTGTCGATGGTTTCCCTGCGGTTCCTTAAGCTCTCCTCCAACCTTAGCCGCCTTGCTTTGATGCTTACTCAAATAGGCGCTAATTTGAGCTAAATTATGCATCTGCATGTAGCCTGCCCATGCCAGGGAATATAAAGTGTGACACTCGGAGAGATGGTGAATTAAAGCAAAGTGTGATATCTGGACGGGCTAATGGCAAATAGGTTAGGCCTGTCAGCCTGATGGTTTGTTGATCTGTGAGTCACTTCATATTCAGCCAAGGGGACAGGGTCATGTTTGTGATGATTTGAAGGTCACTGCAGAGCTTTTTTTTTTTTTTTTTTTGGGGGGGGGGGGGGGGGGGGGGGGACCCTGTTCGGGGTGACAAAACGAACATGCGCGGTAAAAA